GACAATGTGGTATTTTTTTTAGGCTTCATCTCTACTCTTCACAAGAATCCTATATGATGGGGTAGGATTATACCCATTCATCCACAGTCTCAGAAAGGGCAAGCACCTATAACTAACAAATAGAATTTGAATCCACATCTCTCTAATCCCGTATTCAAGACTGTAGTTTTACTACCACCTGACCATTGATAGTGTTTTACTGCTAAAACCCCAATGGGACTCACTAATTGTGATTTAAAAAAAGAAAGAGATTGTAAATCCAGACATGAGGGCTTCAGAGATCCTGGCCTCAGGACACATCATGAAGCCAAGACCTCCTACTGTTCTATAAGCCTCAGCCTGTTCAGGAATTTGCTGCCACCTGGAACCCAAACTCAGCCAATTTCCTAATGGGCTGCACCACTCAGTGTCCAAGCAAGACAGGTGGATACTCAAAGTAGTAACAGAGGTTGTTTAAATCAGAGGACTACTTACAGAGGTAGGGGCAGGTTTCAGGAAGGTCATAGTCAGTGAAGCAGTCAATGGTTAGCAGCAGAGGGAAGCTGATATCAAATAAAGAGGCTGCAGTAAGAAGGAGCATGACCATAACACTGCTGACAGCGGCAGCTATGGAGACAGGCCACCCCATCCTGGCTGAAGTTGTGGCCCCCGTCTCTCTTTTCCCACCCAGTGATTCCTTGCCAGTGCTTCTGGCCAACAGATCCAACAGGAAACCAGAGAGCAAGGGTATCCAGGGACATAATCTGTCAAGGTCAGCTTCTTAGAGCAAAGGGCAGGGCAGGAAATGGATCTGAAAAGACAAATGGAACTCACTGGCCCCCTCAGTTGTTAATCCTCTTTGAGAATTGTTAGAATTAGATGACTGAGGGTACATGGTGGTCCAAGCAGTAGAACTACAGAAATCCATGAGGTGGTCAAGTCACAGCAGCCAAGAGCAGGATATAGAAACAAGATTCCTTCTGATACTGCACCCCCTCCTGCCCCCGCCCTGCTTCTGGCAGTTATGAAATATTCCTTCTAATGCTAAAAAGAGAGTCCAGGAACATCTCTAAACTTTAACTAGCAATTCAGGATGTATGTTTCCTGCATACTGATATAAACTTTCTCTTTTGCTCTAAAGCTGGAAGCCTTCAGGGAAATTGGAGAAGAAGGAAAGTTAGGCTTTTGAGTTACCTGCCAATCCCTAGGTAGAGTCTTTTATATCTCCAAGTTGTCACAAAGCAGTATCATTGTTTTTATGCACATACATAGAGAAATACATAAAAATACACAAAAATAAACATAGTACTATAGTCTATTAGCAATGCAGCTCATCTGTAGAGTTATGCTATCTGTACTGTCCATCTGCTCTGGCACCCCTCAGAGAGAACACCCTGAAACCAGGTGGGCACAGAAACTGGAGAGCTTGAATTGATACAATGGCTGGGACCTTCCTGGAAATACACTACTTCCCTCAGATAAGTTAAGTGCTACGGGGAAAAAAATAATCCTTCTAAACCCATGAAGGCAAATGGGGAGGATAAGAGAGAAAAAATACAGAAAAGTACACCAGATTCTAGTAAAACAATGATAGTTGATAGATAGATAGATGATAGGTAGATAATATATAAACTATAATAAAGAAAGAAATATGTAACATGAGAGAGAGAAAGAAAGAAAGAAAGAAAGAAAGAAAGAAAGAAAGAAAGAAAGAAAGAAAGAAAGAGAAACTTAAAATGATAAATGCTAAGAACTTGGGAGTGCAGTCTTTTGGGGCACATCGTAGGGACGCCTAACTCCACCTTGAAGAACCATATGACATAATATAATTGTAATATAGGATGTAATATATATATTATACGCTGGAACATAACAGGCGTTTAATAGGTAATTGCTAAATTGATTGTTGGTTGTTGTTGTTATTGTACAACCTAAGTACAAAATAAAGCATTAAATTAAAAATCCTCAGGTGTAAACTCACTGAGTGAGAAAAGCTCAACGCCTGCAAATGCTGGGCAGGGATCAAGATAGAGGTGGCCTCCATCTTGAGGTGGCCAGCATATCCCCAGGGACAACTGACAGAAACAAATGGGTGACTTATCCTTAATAACATGTGAGATGGCTAGAAATAGTGTGGCCCTTGCCATAAGATCAAGACCCATCCAGACCAGAGCTCTGCCCTACTATAATGACAGTTCTTTTTTCCCCAGGAGAATATGAAAGGATTTGCCACTTTGATTGTATTCTATGAGGCCGATTGCTCTGAACTGCAGGCACGCGATATTTTCTTAAGAGCTGCATGTCATTTTCCTTGTTTATTTATTTTTCTGTCTCCTATGCAAACCACTTTTCCTCTGTGAAACCTAGACTGACAGAATAAACGAAGACTGGTTTTTCACTATATATTTACCCAATTTAAAGTGTTTTTTTTTTACTTTTTCCTGTGTGCTGTATTACTTTTTAAATTAAAAAATAAGTTCAAAAGACCAGCCATCTGCATGTTTCCTTCCACCATTCTTCCTGCCACTATTAGCAAACACAAAACTTGCAGGAGCAAGACTTGGAACAGCAGGCCTGAAAGATTTTCTTAGATTCCAGCCTCTGACTCAATCCCTTTTCGGCTACAAAGTAGGGCAGTGAGATAATAGCAGCAGGATTTGCCTCCTTTGCTCCATTTATTCCAGTGTTGCAAAACTATGAGCTCCTTTAGCTCCAGAAGGACTAGTGTGCTGGACACAGCCTTGTGTGACTTCCCTGCTGCTCCTCTGACCCTCTGTCATAGGTTGGGTAAGAGGAATAAATGTCAAATATAAACTTAATTTGGGCCTATGTTTCTAGCACCTTTATGGTAGTAATACTCTTCCCCAATACATTGAGTATAAAGAATCAAAATGATATCAGATAGTAAATTATATTATGATGAATCATTCTTTCATCTAATCCATAAGTTCCACATCTGCTAACACTTACAGGACTTCAAATCCTTTCAAAATTCTTTCTCATATGTTTACTCAGGGACTCAGAATCGTGCAATGCCCTCCTCATATCTCTAAATGCATCTTCCCTTCTTCTAGCTCATGATCTCTCTGTTCATTTGACCCCCTCTTTCTCCAAAATCAGTTACAAATTCAACTCTTGTCTCTGCTTTGATGTTCAGCTACAACCTCTACATTAAGAGCAGTCATGAAGTAGAAGGAAACATGATGGATGGTTTGAAATTGGTCAGAAGAAGCCATGAGAGAAAGTGGATGGAAATGGAAGTGGAGGAAAGCGAAGCAAATGCTCTCTCCAGCTGGCAAAGATATTTTAGGAAAATGGGCTCTAATTTAGATGGTGTGAAGGCAGGTCTTGCCTTTCACTATAAAATCAAGGCCATCTTCCGAGAGTCATATTGATTGAAGTTGATCCCTCTTGAAATAAAGATCTGTGCAGGCTCATTTTTATATAAATATTTTTAATTAATAGATGCCTTCATCAAACATGAGAAGAATTAAGCATTAACATTCACCAGAGACCCTGAAATTAGATTGATTATCTGCATCTTAATTTGCTTTTTTGTTGCCAGTAATTTATTTTTAATAGGTCTGTAATTTAGCTTTATCTATTTCTTATTCTGCTTGGCAGACCCAAACGCCTACAGCTCACCAGTCAGTCTCTATAACCTTTAGGCACTGCTGTCTGCACAGTATATTAATTTTTAAATTATCCAGCCCAGTGTGAGGAAGAACTTCAATTAATTTCCATATAGGAGCCAGGCTAACACTCCATCCTCCCTGACTAATAGCAAAATTTAAATGAAGGAGAAGGCCAGTTGTAGGGAGAATCTAGATAAAAACAGTAAATTCCCACTCTTACATTACAGAATCTGCTACCCTTGAAATATTTTCCATTTGAATCAGTTATATGGGTTTCATCATTGCAGTAAAAATAAATGCTCCTCGGCTGGCACTTGTTATTGGCAGATTGACTTGTGGGAGGTTGGTGAATGGAGGTCAGGGACCTTTCAAAGGACTTTTCAATTCTTTCCCATTTCTGATTATATGCATACATTTTGATTCTGAAAAATTTACCAGAATTTCTCTCAAGCAGGAAGCTGTCTTCATTTTGGAAAACACCTCAGTAACCTCATGGGATAAAAGCAAGATAAAAAAGTAGAACCCCATACAATAAGGAGGAATGGTTATGTCTGCATGGGGGATACACAGGTTAAACAACAGAGGGTTGCCTGTTTTGGGATTTTTTTTTACCTTTTCTTTTTTTGCCTGATATGAATAGAAGAAATACAGTGCCACTGAAGGGACATATGTAGGGTGAAAAATAGAACTGTGAGATTTGCATGCCAAGATCACTGGAGCAGGGAGAGAAGTTGCATTAATCCTGATGAAGGTTCTGATGGCCACAACCAAAGGCATGCTAAGGGAAATGGGGAGAAACGGTCAGATTCAAGATATTAAACAGATCCACCAGGATCACTGATGAGTGTATGTGGGGAGGAGACGTGTCAATGGGTAAAGCCTAGACTTCTGAATTGAGCAACTGAGTGGCTGGTTGTTAGAGCTAATGCTGAGAATAGCAGCAATGTAGATAAGGGGAGAATGGTAATCCTGCATTCCATATTAGACAATTATGTCCCAGATGTCTGTGAGATATCCAAATAGAAATGGCATATAGTCAGTTGGATAAATAAGAGTAAGCCCAAAGGAAATATCTGGCTCAGAGAGATAAAATTGGGCACTATCTTTATAAAATGGTTTTCAAAATTATGAAAATGGATTAAATCACCTAGGGAAAAGAAAAAAAGCAAGAAAATTTGCGGGCCCAGTTCTTAGTCTTTAGGAATCTCAAAATTGGATTGTGGGAAAGATAAGGAGAGAGGAAACGCAGCCCTGAGAGGAAGGAGCATTCAGGATGGGGTGATGTCACTGCAGCCAAGATCATGGGAGACTGTGGCAGGAAGAATGATAGTCATATTGAGTGTTACTAAAAAACCAAATAGCACAGAAACAGAAAGCTAAGCTTACCTCAGTAAATCTGTTACTGTTTTAAATCCTTTTGAAGGCATGAGGAGATTGAAAGCTGAACTTTGAGGCCAGGATGTGGCCTTCAATAGGAGAATAGACTCTTCCCTATAAGAATAAGAGAAAAAAGAAGATGGGTGTCACTTAGAGATCCACAAGTCTCCACAGAGCATAATGTCCACATGGGCAGCTAATGATCTCACATGCACATTCCTCAAACACCTGCAGTCTCCTTAACTCTGGACCCCAGCAACACTTCTTCAGCCTGCTTTTCATAGCGGCCATGTGTGGATCTGTCTACAACAATGTAAATTCCTTGAGGGGGTAAACAATGCTTTACTCATCTCTGCCTTCTGCACAGTGCCCAATACAGTATCTAACTTGGAATAAGCTCTCAATTTGTGCTTTTCAGTTGTAGTCATATTTTTTAAAACATTTCTGGAAAAATTTTAGCATCACAAGTGTATTCTAAAAGATGGATGAACCCAACTCAGAAATTAGTAAGATCAAAACCAAATTAATCTGTAAACGTATTGCTTTTCTAATTTAAGGGAAAGTCCACACACAGGTTAAGAAAAATAAAAGGGGTTAGCTACACAAAAGACATGTCTGTCTGATAATATGTTAGTGGTTGAGAAAGAGTAAAGCTCAAATCTGAGCTCCATATTTCTTCCCAACTGAAGATCATAAGTCGAGCATGCCAGGAACCAGGGCCCATAAGCGTTTGCAGAAATTGCACTTTAAACTAATTTGCTTCAAGGCTCTAAATGGTGATGCTCAGTCACAACACAAGGATCTGGAGATCAGGAGAGGGCTGTCATATGATGCTGCTTTTATGTCTGACACAGAGTAACTAACCATAGCTTTTCATTCTGAGCATATCACCCAGTTTATTTTTTAAGAGTGTCACAGCAATCTTGGGATTTAAAAGAGATGTTTATGCAAAATAAATGAGGCCAGAAGTAAAAGAAAGATTTAGAGAGAAGGCTAGAAAGGACTAAGGAAAGGCAGAAATCAGGTAAGCAAGATGAAGGTAATTTATCAGTCTTAAAAAAAGTAGAAGGACATGGCACCCTGTCCAACTAGAAACAGGAATCAGGGGCACCTGACAAGTGACCGAAAGCTACTTTAGTTGCTGACCATAGATCTCACACCCTGAGTTTTTGGTGCAAAGTAACTTGCAGTTCCCCAACTCATTACTTTTCCAAAGCCCATAACATGAACCCTCACTTTCTCCAACCATAACAAGACAACCCTCCTTTACTGTGGCTCCCCCAGATCTAAGAGTGGAGGTTCCAGATGGCACGTTGGCCTCTTCTGTGTGCTGGGGACCATGAGGTACTGTTCTAGCAGATGTGTTTATAGGCTTTGTAGAACACCAAGAGTCACAGAATCTACAGAAAATACTCGGAATATTAGAGTCCAGAACTTTACTTCTAGAATCCACAAAAGTCCAATCAAACGCACTCATTGGACAAAGGAGAAAAATGAGAAAGAGACTCTGAGTTGGAACAAGTCACATAACTTGTTAGTTGCAGAACCAACACAACTACTGCTAATCCAAAATAACATGAATAAGTTTCTCACCTTTTGTCTCAATTTCTTTACCTGAAAATATGAATAACAATGACCACTTTGCTTGGTAGTAGGGTACAAAATAATTGACATAAGTAAAATACCTAGCACAATGATTGGCTTGATTGGCACATAGCACATAGGTGTTGGAGAAATTCTTCTCTCCCCTTTCAATTCACCCTTTTTTGCTTGAATATGATGCTGTACCTAATGCTACCAGACAGGATAAAGAAACACAAACTTTTTTTTCCAGTTTTAAGAACACCTAGAGAAGAGAATTTTTACATACACCCCATTATATTTTGAACGAAACATGTTTCTCTATGCTCCATCCACAGAGTGTTAAATAGCTTAGAAACTCTTTATGTCACTTCTTAGATACTGCTTTAAAATATATCTTTCCCTGCACCTTCACCCACAGCGACAATACCTTCAGGATGGTCAGAAGGCGCTGGGTAAACGCTCCATCGTTCTCAGGCTCTCAGCAGCACCCTCAGTGTGACCCGTTCTCCTCCACAAATCACAAATCCCTGGAGATTGCTTCTCCCCAGATTAAAAAGCCTGAATCCGCTTCTCTCTGCAGCTCCCCACGGTCTAGAAAAAAGTGAATGTTCAGTGGTGCTCAGTAGCCATATGGACCCAGTAGTAGTTTGGATATTTCCATGTGGCCAATTGGGACAGCAATAAAGTGAGAAATATGTTTTATGTCTGTAAATTTTGGCAGAAAAGAAATGAAGAAAAGAGCTGGGATGCACAGGGACTAGAAAAAATGTGATGTTAGACTCCTCAGAAGATGCAGAGTTAAGCTGCACCTCTCTCCACCTGATTACCCCTCTCATATCTTAAATGCATAGTTCCCCAAATTTGGGTCATCACAACAGCTTCCCTCTAAATCCTGCCCACCACTTTTCTCTCTCTTTTTTTAATCCCAATATAAAATAAAGGATAATTCATATACTAAAGAGTAAAATATTAATAAATGTTTTTATAGCTTAATCCATTTTAAGCTTGTTTTCCATGAGGAATCTCAAAAGTTGCATTACAGGGATTTAAGGCCAGAGAATTCCTGAGACAAAAGTTAAAATAACTCATTCTCAGCTTAGTAAATTAAAAGAAGAAAAAGAAGAAGGTTTTACCAAGTGTATTTAAGTTTCATGGAAGGCATATTGGCTTTAGGTACATCTGGTTTTCATCGAACTTGAAAAAGGCTTAGATTTCAAAAATGAAACTATGCAAATGATTAGTCAGTCATTATGTGTAAATGCTTTAGGCTTTAAATGTTACTATGGAAAATAAAGTAAAATAAAACAGCTTTAATATAGCCCCAGTAAGCTTAGTCCATGGACAGCACATTAAATCCTGAATTACATACTCCACCAAACCCTTCCTAATGAGCCATCCAAGTCTCTGATGTATATAATATGCCTTTTTAAAAATGCATGAATGCATATTCCACCCACAGGTTTGGATAGCTCCTCTGGGTTATTTAAGTTTCAAAGGAGTCCATCAGTCTCCCAGGTATAAAGTTCTGTGAATGCCTTCAAAACAAAAATTCAGAAATTTAGAAGCTCAGAATACCTTGAAGGGGAACAATATATCAGCCCCCAAAATCAGGCCATCAAAGGCAGAGTTGATGAGGCATCTGCTACTCTGAGTTTCCTATTTTTTGTCAGTTTCGGTCACAACCCTTAAAACAGCTGTAACTCCATTCCTTCCAATCTAATTATAAAACTGAGGCTTGTTTTATTTATAATTAGAATCCAGTGACCTCCGCTGACCCCTGCCTGTGCTGCTGTTACATGACTGCTCTTGGATGCTGAGATGCAATTGCACTGAGCAGGAAGGGACAGGATGTTCAAAGCCCCAGGACAGAGAAAGTCCCCACGGGCTGTTCTGCAAAGGATGTGAAGGCTGGGGCATCCTAGCCTAAGGAAGTTGGTGAATCCAGAAAGGAAACTCATGGGTAGAAAAGAAAGACCAAAACTCAAGAGGGGCTTCTAGAGACGAAGCAAATAATAACCTGTCTTCTGGGGAAGCAAAAGAAAGAAACAATGCATGACTTAACAAGAAAGAGGAATCAGGTGGAGGAGAAAGAGGGGTAATGTTGGTGAAGCAAGATGCAAGGAGGGGAAGAAAACAATGTTAGTTGGGAAACCATTATGCCAGACACTCTCATTAATCTTTTTTAGCTCCCATTGCAACTTGCCATGTAAATGGAATTACTATGATTCTATAGAGAAGGGAACTAAAGTTCAGGGAGGTTTAGAACTTTTTTTTAAAAGCCTGTACTATTTGGCCCTCTCTTTGGCCAATGTTGGGTGCAGTGGAACTGAATTCCACAGATTGTGAAGATGGGAGGGTGTGTCTAGAGAATCCCGGGGACACTATCAAACACAGCCTGACTGACTGTGTGCAGTGTTTTCCCTTAACTGTAAAAACTAAAACCCACTGTATATGGTCGCTATGAGAATTAAAAGGTTTAATACATACAACACATGGCACGTGTGCCTGGCACACTGAAAACATTATATAAGTTGAAACTAATTACTATTATATTGTTTGTTTGTGATTCATTTCCCAATCTGTTTATAGAAGTTTATATTATGGGCGCATAGCTGTGTGTACATGAGAGCAAGTGTTTGATGGTGTTTCAAGTTTCTATAGATACCACTCATTTTCCCCCCAGCAGTATAGAAATCATAAATAAAGGTGAACTGGGTATGACTTGAGCAAGACAAACTGTTTAGAAAATTGCAGGTCATGACCCAAGTTTGATAAAGTAAGAACTAAAAAACTGGTTAATTCCAAAGTTTGAGGTCTAACATAGAAGTGTATTTTTTATCTCCACATAATTTAGATCTATAAAGAGCTGGTATAAGGCTGGCTGAGTGGCTCATTTGTTAAGAGTTGGCTTGGGATGCCAGCTCTGAGCAGCAGGACCCTTGTTTGGATCCCACATGAGGGCCAGTGACGCTGCGCCCTCTACAGCTAAGATGGTGAACAACAGCTCGACCTGGAGCTGGGCTGCTGTGAATCGCTGGCGACGGCGTAGGCTGCAGCCCCTGCTGCAGTGAGCTGCTGTGAGCTACCATGAGTGGCTGGCAGCCAGCAGCTGCCTTGGGCTGCTGTGAACCGCCATGAACAGCCATGAGCCCCCATGAATGGCTGTCCAATGGCTGGCGAGTGACTGCCTCACCTGGGAAGAGCGCAATGATAATACCAACATGGGCCTGTGAAGCGACATCCCCCACAACAACTACACTGAAAAACAAAAGGACAGCAACTTGTCTTCTCCCCTTCCCCGATTCCCCAACACTATTCCCTCCCCAATTCCTTAATAAAATCTTTAAATAATAATAATAATAATAATAATAATAATAATAATAATAATAAAAGAGCTTGTATAAAGTAAATCTCAACACTGATGGAGGAGCAAGGTGTAAATGAATTCATCTAATCTGATGTTCTGATTTAGCACGAGTGGACCTGGTAGCTCCAAGAGTCAGTCCAGTGTGTCATAGCCATGACTGGACAACCCCCTCTGGGGTCCAGATAGTGCTAGTTCCACTGTCCCAGTGTCCCAGTGACATTGATGGTCACCCTAAAACACATTTAGGCATGGCGCACTGTCTTTGCAGTCACCAGTAAGTGCATGTTTTTCATAGCATTTGTCAGTGGACCAGATGACATCAGTGAAAAATAGACATTCCTGGCACCCAGGATCATCCTTTACAAGATTACTAAGATACAGGGTGGCAAAGGAACAAAACACTCCTATCACAGCCACACAGGACTCAGGCATGCCCCACAAGTACACCAAGAAACCTGAGCATAAGCAGTTCTCTCTCCATGTGTTGAAGGGTGACTTTCCACCACAGCATAACCCTGTGTGCATAGAACGTCCATGTGTCTTCTGTCCACTTCCATGCTTCCCCTTGTAAGGATGTGAACCCTTTTAGAGCACCCACCAATTTGTGGACTCCCCACTTTAGCCTCTCCTCAGTTTTTTCCTCACCCTTTCCCATGACTCCTCTCTCCCTAAAGATTTAAGGCTGAGATATAAAGATGAGAAGAAAAGTGAAAAGAGAGTTCTGTTTTTATTTGTTTTGTTCTGTTTTCAAATCCTAAGTCCTGGGCACAGGCTTGGTGCCATTTCTTCAAGTTGCCCTCACCATCTTGAACATCGCCTTGTCCAAGCAGGAAGCCAGTGCCCACTCCATGCCTCCTGTAGTTGTGTATTCATCAAGCCACAGTGCACTGCAATGGGCATTATGGGTACTCAGAGAAGCCCAAGACAGTCACAGCTGGGATGGGAGACAAAGAAAAGCATCTACGAAGATTTTTGCCGTAAGGCTGGTCTGACGTAATGACAAAATTCCAGCACAAAGAAGCCCAGACTCTATGTGTTATGCTTAAAAAGGAGCAAAGGAAAATACATTCCTTAAATTGAATCCCCTAATGTCAACAGGATTACCTGAAATTAATCCTAACTGCAGATGTTAATCTGCCTTCACAGAGGTTTAGCTCTTCATTTGGGGTCACTTCACGGCTCGCCCTGCCTTGCCTTTCTGGGCTATAAGTCCCCTTAGGAATGTTCTTGGTAACACCCCACCCCTGTGATGATTTCCTGGGTTCTGAGAAGTTCACGGACATCAAAACTAAAGTCTGCCCCAACTGTTCATTTATACTTGAAATTCTTCTGTCAGGGGGGATAGAGGAATTTTATGCACAACTGCCCCTAGGAGTGGCAGCCTGATGACTTCAATTCATAGGGTAGAAATCACAGGGAAAAAAGATGCCTATTTAACACAGGATTCTTAGGTGGATCAGATAAGTTGGTGGAGATGGGGAAAAGATGCAGGAGAGGCCACGGCCATTCAGAGAAACTTCATATAATGGCTAATATGACCATTGACTGGGTTCAGGGCGCTGACTAGTTCTTCCCTCTGCTTCACCTTACCCAGAGTTCTGCATAGGGCAGGACCGGATTAAGGTATCCTCAGATTGTATCACCTCAGCAGCACTCCCAGCACCAGTCCCACTCCAGTAGTGGGTAGACCTTGACCAAAAAAAAGGGGGGGGGGAAGGGGAGGAGGGAAAAGGCTGAGTTGTCAGCCAGTTTTCTTGGCTTTGTTGTTTGTTCACAGCCTAAGTTGGATTGAGTTTTCTTTTCTTTTCTTTTTAGGCATGAGGCTCTCTGTCCAAAATACAGAGTTTTGAAGTGCAGCCCAGCCTGCTCTGAACTATAAAAAAATTGAGTTAATTAAGCTTTCATCATCTGAGTACTTGCAACCTTTTTGTTGGCACATTGGGGAAATGTATTAGTGGTTACTAATTAAAGGTATTGAATATACCTTTATACTTCTTCAAATTCTTAGACTACTGGAACTAAGTTGATTAAAAAGAAAAGGGGAAAGTTTTTCTTGAATTTATCCTTGAAAATGGCTAAGAGAAACTATAAATAAAACCAGAAGAAGGGAAGGTGGGACCTTCTTCTATAACCTATCTTTGTAATTTAGTTTTGGGGCTTGGGACCATTCTATAAAAATAATAATAGCTAAGTCTTATTGTATGTTCATTA